GAGAGATCTGCTCCTGGAAGACCCAATAGGGTCCTGCTTGGTTGCAACTTTATTTAATGATATGAAAGATTTTTTTCACAGTGTCCCTTATACCTCTAACCCACACATCAAAAAAAAATTTCTTCTTATTTGCATCCTTTCCTTATCTGTGCTTCTATCCAGATATTTTTCTGACCTGTCTTTTCATTTACTTATATTCTGTTCTGCTACAACTAATTTGCTTTTAAGTCTATCTACTGAACACTTTATTTTGATTATTGTATTTTCTGATTCTACAATGTACATTTGGATTTGTTTCTGCATATTTTAATTATCTGATGCTATAATTAATCTTCATGTCTATTTTAACACATTATTCTCTGTTTTTGTTAACAGGTCAACCTTATCCACTTTAAAGACGTCTGAAGTCTAGATCATCAGGGTAGTTTTTTGTTTATTTTCTTTTGCCTTTAGGTGAGTTGATATTCTGTCTTGCAATAAGTAGGATGTTTTCATGGAAGGACAAGACTTATGTGTAAAATTCTTTGTGAGTTATTTTTTTTTCTTTTGACATAGACAATTAACCTTTCCCTTTGTTAGGAAGACTAATTAATCACCTTAATTCAATCCAGACCAAAATAATGAAAAGTTGTATTACACTTTGGATCAGTCTCTAAGCCTTGGTTCATGTTTGGTTCTCAAGCATTGCCATCTAGTAGTTCCATCTGACCCTGGGAAGTTACGCAATACTGATATGTACCCACACTGCACTGTTATTCAGATCCCTCAAGTATCTGTTACCTTTTGTGTCTGAAAAGTTGCTAAAGATCTTTTTTTCCTCTGTTTCTAAGAATCAGACCATTCCCAGAGACACTTTGCTGAGATCCTTAGCCTTTTGCTCTGTTTTCAGAATTGGAATATGCCCTGAGGGAAATAGCTGTTGTAGACTGTCATACCAAATTTCAGCACTACTCCCATTGTCCTAGAATTCTGTTCTCTCAAGTCCTTGTCACCTTAGAAGATCTCTGATGCATTTAAGTAAATTTAATCTGTTTATTAATTTTTCTTATCAATGGATTTCTCTTACTCTCTTTAAGAGAGTTGATATACTGCAAGATAATCCACCCTTTCCAAAAACAGAATTAAAATATTCTTTTAAGTTGTTCAAACCATTTAAATTATAATTTAAGTAATCTTTTACAAACAAAATTTAATTGTCAACTTTGAGGACAAGATGTTTGGATGTATGTCTGCCATCAGAAGTATATATATCAACTATTCTCACTTGTAAGTGACCAGGTAAGAGGTTTCCACCAAATTTCAGGAAATAAAATAATTATACAAATTTCTCATGAGATGATTTGCTATGCTGAAAGAAAAGTTCATCACATATTCCTGAATAATTTGTCTTTCTAAATAATAAGTATTATTTGTAAAGAATAAATGCACACATATATTTAAATAATCTGATAAATAGTAAAAGTAGTCATCATCTAAAAAACCACAAATTTAAAGAATTATAAATCTATTTGTAAAAAATAATTTGTGTTAGATCTCTCTGCCTCATATCATATAGAAAAATAAACTTGAGCTATGTGTAATATCTGAAAGGAACAAAAATTAAGTGAAAATAGAGAGGGTTTCAGATAATAGTTTAAGACGTACTGTGTGGAAGTATTCCTGAGTAAGAAAGGAAATCCAAAAACCATCACATACAAAAGTGATAGATGTAAATATACAAATTACCAATATGTTTAACTTTTCCAACACTTGGTGTCATAATTGCTTGATCTCTGAATTTTCAAGAATATTTTTCTCCTCTTTATTACTGACACTCCCAAAGTCACATAACCAAATTGTCAGCTCCAAAAGAATACGTTCCAAAATCTCAAATCCTCTAGTAATCACTGGAAACACAGCTGAAATAATTCCTCAAATTCATTGTGACAGTAAACCTATTTTTAATCAAAATTATTTTTACCATTTGTATAACTTCAACTTTCTTGATATTTCAAGAAAAAAGTATCTGGTTTGCCCTTTTTAGATTCTTCTTTGTAAATAATTTCAATACACTTGTGCCACATTACTCTATAATAATCAACTGATAAAATGAATTTACCTGCTTTATGCTATCATTCTTCAGTTTCTCCAAAGTTCAGAAATCTCCAAAGGGAAAAACAGCAACAACAACAACAACAGAAACTTAAATAAGTAGCTCAGTTCTTCAGGCTTTTATTGTTAAAAAAAATCAGCTGACAAATAGAATTATGAATGTTTTCTCTGTGACTGCACTGAGTATCATTAATGGATAAAACTGCATATTCTATATGTAGAATTCATGTTAACTTAGTAAACCCACACCTCAAATGAGTTCTTAATATTGTCTAGTCTTAAAAATGTATAGTCTTACAATAAGTGTGGCTTTCTATGCTTAAAATGATATGTCTGTATCAGTGAAGATTCTCCAGAGAAGCAGAACAATAGGAGATATTCACATAGCTGTACTATGTCATCTTATATAAGGGACTTGACCATCTGCAGATTTTGGTATCCTCAGGATCCTAAAATTAATCACCCACAGATACATAAGAATGATTAGAGATAAAGAGAGAAAGAGGACTTATTTTTATTTTTAGAAATTGGCTGATGCAATTGTAAGGGTTGGTAAATTTGAGATTTGTTAAGGCTGGACAACAGGCTAGAAATTCATTATGTTGCAGTCTTGAATATGAAATCTACAGGGAAGACCATCAGGCTGGAAACTCAAGCATGATATTTATGTTTTAGGCTTAAGTCATAATTCCTTCTTTCAGAAACTTCACTTTTTGCTCTAAAAATCATCAACTGATTGAAAGAGACCCACCCACTTTATGAAGGATATCCCATTTAACTTGAAGTTGACTGAATATAAATATTAATCAATTCTACTTACCTTCACAGCAACCTCCAACCTAGTATTTGACCAAAAAACAGCACCACAGCCTAGCCTAGCTGAAATATAAATTAAACGTCACAATATGTCTTCTCTCTCTCTCTCTGTCTCTTATTTACCCACACACTCACACATGTGCACTTATAATTTATAATTATTTCATGCCTTCTCCTATCACGTACATATGATACATATGATATAAGTATAAATCTGGAAGAATATATAAAATTGTATTTGGTGTGTTTTAATAAGAGAGAGATGGGCATATGCATGAAACCAAAGATTACCTGATAACTGTACATAGTCCTAAATTGGGAGAAAAAATATATAATATATGACATATAATCTGTAACATAGTAAATATATATAAATATTTATAATATGATATGCTATAACATATTTCATATAATTGCATACAGTTGTCCTTCAGTATCCACAGGGGATTGGTTCCAGGACCCTATGGATACCAAAATCTGTGAATGTTAAAGTGCCTCAGAAAATTACAGTATCCACAGGTTCTGCTTCTGGGGTTCTGTGGATATGGAGGACCAATTGCTATATATCACTTTCTTTTCTCAAACAGAAATGACGAGTTTTACATTTTCATAAAAGTTGCAAATAGATATTTTTGAGAACTAGATAAATAATGATTCAAAATTTTCTCTTGAAAAATTTTCTGATAAACATCTAAGGGCATTATAAATAAACAAGGGTTATCAATGATTAATTTTCCTGTTAAATATTTAAATGCATTCTAGAATAATCATCATAAAAAAGATGATGTTGATGTAATGGAATATAAGTGTTTTGAAGATTAAAAAATTACTAAGCCCAGTGTTGAAATTATAATTATATTGCATTTGAAAAGCACAGAAATATGGTATTTTTAATGACCTCCTAATTATTCTTTTTCTTAATTTTACCACTTAATTAGCTTCAAAGGGGAAATTAAAAAAATATTGTAAAGTAGGTTAAATAAAGAATATTTTAGTTGAGTGAGGGTGTGGATCTCTGGTTTCTTGTTAAGCCAATCTAGAGAGTTTTATATATATTGGAAAATTTAATTGACACATTCCAACCAAATAACATTTAACTGTTTGGCAAAGATTTGTATCTAGAATATTTTTGTGTATACTTCTAATAATAATCTTTGATCAATAAATTAACTAAAACAACACTAGTAAAATCATGTACACCTTAAAAAATCATTGCTGAAATGAGCCACTATTACTTTGAATGTGTGTTTGGTTGAAAATCTTCTAGAGTTCACTCACTTATTGGCACAGAGATGCCTATGAAACACAAATTCATGAGTAAAAGAAGGGAATCTAAAATGGAAGTGGGTCAGCAAACAATCAACAGAAGAAATATATACATTTCACTTAGTTTTATATTCTTACATCACTATTCAATCACATTCAGGAGTATATCTAATTCTACATTTTACTACAATAGTGCTACACATTATTTCTATGTTCCTACTGGTATGGAATTTTTGTCATACAATTATGAAGTGAGGGCAATATAAAAACCTTTAAAAAGTATACCCAGTGATTTTTCCTTAAAGAAAACCTTTTTATGTTTGAAGAATATAGAAAATGCTAAAATGAAATTTCACTATCATTTTGAAGGTGATGATTATAGAAGCATAATATTGAACTGGAAGGAGGGAAGTCAGACAGATTAATCTCATTACTAAAAAGTCAACAGGAAAGAATAAATTACATAAACAAAACATCTGGATTATTGAAAAGAAACTAATTAACATAGTAAGAAAAAACGTGCCTGCCGTCTGAATTAGAAAGGAACATTATAAAGGGTATAATCACAACACTGACAATGATTGCCGGCACCTCTAGTAGCAGACACATGTTCTCCCTAAGGAGACATATAATTACAACAAATTGTATCCTAAATATGTATCTGTAATTTGGTAGGCATGAGATTTCTTGTGAACTCAAGCATTTTTAAGTCACAGAAACGTGCCTTTTAAATAAGCCTAACTTGTTTTGGAAACGATAGCTTAACATTTTAATCATTGAACAAATCACCAAGTAATTACTAAAATAAGCTGTTTAACATTGTTCTTGGTAAGATATATGAAGCACTATTTTACATTATAAAAATATATGTATTGAATTTGGAAGAGTAAAAAACAGTCACATCCTTACATAACCTATTCACACAGTAACCTGAGATGTCTAAATACCCTCTCACATTTTCCTCTTTGGTTGTTAAAGCCAAGAAGTAAAGACCACCAGGAACACTATGTTTAAATAAAATTAGGTTTTATTTTTGCTGTAGAGAGGAGAATATACCCCAGGGGGAATGAGGATGTCTCAAGAGAGTTGGAGTAGGGAGACTTCTAAGATTTAGGATTGCAGTAGAGGGTTTAAGGAGGAATTAAATGAAAGAGAGACAGTTGTGTGTTAAATGTTGTCAAGAAATGAGGGCAGCTCAGTGATTGGACTTGTTCATAAATTTTATTTACAAGACAGTGGTCTAAAAGTAGGCCTCTTGTATTGCTTAGTCAGAAAAGGGAGATTTTCATCATTTTTGTAGTTGCTGCAGCCTTCTATTGTACATGAATGTGATTCTGATGTAGACTTTTCCGAGCTTCACAGTTTGGCTCCCAGCAATACTATTGCTTGTTATCTAAGATAAAATCCAAGTTGCCAAAAATCTTCATATCTCTTTGGCTAACTTTTTAGCAAGATAAATTAAATAGTAAAGTGGCACTATAATTACTACACATTTAAGCACAGCAAAAGTATCTACCCTTCTATATTGGATACTAAATTATTTTTCTTTTCAATATGTATGTAGTATCTACTTAAAAATTATGTTAGTGAAGATTATTTTTATGAATGGTGTGATGTAGGCATCAGTTTTCCCACATGGCTCTCCAATTTTTATAAGACTGTTTATTGAAGGCACTTCTCTACTTTGCCACTTTTTCTTATAGATAAAATGTCTATATATGCTTGGGTCCATCTCTGGGCTCTCTAGCCCATTGATCTTTTTATTTATTCTTGTACCAACACTGCACTCTCACAGTTAATGTAGCTTTAATATAATTATTGCTGATCACCTTGTATTTCTGTAAATGTGTCCTGGCTATTTTGACATTTACATAAATATTAGAACCAATTTTTTTCAATTTCTAATAAATTTAATTAAAGGTATATTGATTCTATAGATTAATATGAACTGACATCTCTACATTACTAATTAACTTGGTTAATAACTGATACCCATCAATAAAGGTTAAAAGTATTCTGTAGAGGTAAAAGTCAATAATGGTTAATAATCTATTTTGCACATCTTTTATCAGGTTTATTTCTAGATAGTTGATATTTTGATGCCACTACTAGTGATATAGTAAAGTAAGACATCTAAGTAAGCACAACCAAGATGAAGAAGTAATATAGTACTAGGAACTACTAAAGTGTTCTTTTCATTCATTATCTCATATTTTGTACCCAGACTATGCAATGTATTCACTTTTATTCATAATTATTTGATGTTCTTTATACTTTTACCAAATAGACACACATTCCTAAATACTACAGCTTATTTGGTCTTGTATTTTGCAATTTCTATAAATAGAATTATTCAATGTGAAATATGTTCAGTATTATGTTGAGTCCTATCTATGCTATTGTGTGTTTGCATAGTCTATTTTATTTTCACTGCTGTTTAGTTTCTGGTACACAATTAATTTATTCGTTTTATTCTTGAGTTATATGTGCATTGTTTTTAGTTTGGAGGTAACATAAATAATGCTGCTGTTGTACTTTATGCTATTTATTTGGATACACATGTGCATGCTTACCTGTTGAGTATATACATAGGAGTGGAATTCCTCTGACTTCTCATATGCTTATCTGCATGTAAATTAGATAATGCCATTTAGCTCTCCTCACTGGTAGTGAAACTTTATACTCCTCTTTTAATGATGAGATTTCCAGTTTCTCCTCAGTGTCACCATTTCTAGGTCCTGCAATTATGGATGAAGGCATTGATTTGGGTTTCCCTGTTGACTTACTAAGATGGAGAATACTGTTATATGCTTATTGATCATCTGACCATATTCTTTAGTAGTGCATCTATCCAAGTACTTGTTCAGGGTTTTATTTGATTGTGCATTCTATTATCTTACTGATTTTTAGCATTTTAAACACATATCTTCAGTATACCAGATTTTGCAATTTGTTTTTGTTGCAAATATTTTTTCCCACTGCTGTTTTTTCTTTCTAATCACTTAGTGGTGAATTTTGGTGGCATGCAATTCTGTTTAATTTAGCTAGTCTATTAAGGTTTTCATTTATAGATAGTATTTTTATTTTTAAAGACTCATCTTCTAAAAGACAACAAAAATATTCAGCTATACCATACACAAAAAGCTTTATTATTTTGCCTTTTCACATTTAGGTTTACAAATCTGACAAGGTTAGGTTTTTCTGTATGGTATGAGGTAAAAACCAAATTTCTTTATTTTCCATGTGGCTATCCAATTCACATACCCAGTGTTATTAACCATTCTTCTCCAATGCATATTGTGTTTATTTTTTTCATAAATCAGATATGCAGTCATTTGCTTTTGAACTGTACTGTAGCCAAGGCCCTTCTTCCCATCCTTGCAAAAAAACTATACTTTCTTAACAGCCAAAACATAAGAATTTGTGATATTTGGTTAGATTAATTGTTTCATCATTTTGCACAATTATCTTGACTATTCTTTATCCTTTGCATTTACCCATAATTCATATAATCAGATGTCCATTTTAACAGACACAAGCTCATAGAGACTTCAATAAATATTGCTCTTCCCTGTTTTTGTAAATTTGTCTAGAACAAGCTGAAAATCTTGTAAGTTGAGTGCTCCAAACCATGGACGCTGTATTTTTTTCTATGATTTAGAATGTAGAATTTTTAATAATATTTTATCAAATTCTATGAAAGATTATACACATTTTAAGTTACATTTATTCTTATAGAGTTGATATTTTAATATCAATATAGTATTTTAATGTTATTTTAAATGGAACATTTTTAGTTTTTTGAGAAACCTCCAAACTGTTTTCCACAGTGGTTGCACCAATTTACGTTAACACCAAGAGGGTACAAGGGCTCCCTTTTCTCCACATCCTCATCATCATTTGTTATTTGTGTTCTTTTTGATGATAGCCATTCTGACAGCTGTGAGGTGATATCTCATTGTGGTTTTGATTTGCATTTCCCTGATGATTAGCAATGTTGAGCATCTTTTCATGTACTTGTTGGCCATCTTCATTTCTTCTTTGATAAATGTCTATTCAATTGTGACTATTTTTAATCAGGTTTTTTTTTTTTTTGATGTTGTGCTGTATGAACTGTTTATATATGCTGGATATATTTTCTCCCATTCAGTAGGTTGTCCTTTTGTCTGGTTGACAATTTCCTTTGTTGTGTAAAGCCTTCATTTTAACCAGGTGACACTTGTTTATTTTGCTTTTATTTCCTTTGTTTTAGGGGATGAATCCAAAAAAATATTGCTATGATTTATGTCAAAAAGTGTTTTGCCTATGTTTTCCCTTAGGAGTCTTATGGTTTCTGGTCTTACAATTAAGTCTTTAATCTATTTTGAATTTATTTTTGTATATACTGTTATAGAATATTCTAAGTTCATTCTTTTGCATGTAGCTGTCTAGGTTTCCTAGCACCAGGTATTAAAGAAACTGTCTTTTCTCCACTGTGTATTCTTGCCTCCTTTTTTCTAGAGTAATTGTTCCAGCCTAGTCCACTCCTGGGCATATAGCCAAAAACACTAATTCAGGAAGATGGATGCACCTCAATATTTATAGCAGCATTATTTACAATTGCCAAGATATGAAAGCAACATAAGTATCCATCAACAGAAGAATGGACAAAAAAGATGTATTATAGATATACAAAGGTATACTACTCATCCATAAAAAATGAAATTCTGTCATTTACAAGAACATGGATAGGCTTGAAAGGTATTATGCTAAGTGAAATAAGTCAGAGAAAAGTAAATACTGTATGAGATCACCTATGTATGGAATCTAAAAAAAAACACAAACCAGTGAATATAACAAAACAAATAATAAAAACGAATCAGACTCACAGACGTAGAGAACAAACTAATAGTTACCAGTGGGTATAAGGAAGGAAGATAGATTAAGAGGTACCTCATCATATAGGATTGAGCAATTAAGAGGTACAAACTATTGTGTATCCATAAGCTACAAGGATATATTGTACAACATGGGAATTATGGCCAGTATTTTTTAATGGCTATAAATGGAGGATAACATTTAAAAATTGTGAATTATTATACCATGCACCCGTAACTTATATAATATTGCATATCAACTATAATTAAATAAAAATGTTTTTAAAAATTAACTGGTATGTTTTAAATTTTAGTTTTCTAAACCTTTACTGCTATTATTTAAAATAAAATTTAGGACCAAAGTTTTAACTCTTTTCCACATGTCTATTATATGACTGCAGTCAGTCATGGACATTTTCTCATGGTTATCAGTGAAATGAGTTTTGCACCATAGCAAGTGTCTTTTAGATCTCTGATTATGCTACCATTGACAAGTTCTGATTGGGCAAAGCAAGTCACACAGAAGAGCCCTCCCACATTCTGAGCCAAACACTTTTCAATGTGTCAGTGAAATGAATTTATCTCAGTCTACCTTCTGGCCAAAATTACTTATCGTTCCTTATGTAATACATGGTAACAACTATCCAAGAACCACAAAAATCTCATCGAATTATAACACTGAACTTGAAGTCCAAGATCTTGTGATTTACATTTGGTCCAGGTGTAGCACCATGTGCGTTGCTCTTCTTGATGTGGATGCTTTTGGATTTCAAAGACCAGTTATCTGCTCTTCACACACCCAAAATGCAATGAGGACTAAGGGAGAGGATAATTTATAAGCACTCCCATTGAATGGGGGGAAACGGGAGAAAACTACTGTTACTGGTTTGGAGTCATTTTGCAATCCAATAGGAACATTTGGCAGGTACACTAGGTACTGGGGCATGGAATGTTCTTTCATTTGGCCTAGCCTCTTGAAGTGGGGCCTCCAGTCCATTTTTCTCTGCAACTTTTGATGCTGTCCTTACTTTTACCCTTCTTGGATACTTCTAAATAAGGTATTGGGTTATATGCTCTTTAAGCCATATTCTTAGCCTTTTTTCACCCTAGAGAAATTTAGGCCCTATTTCTATCATCAAAATTTTAGCCCCTTTTAATCAAGAGTGGAAGCACATTTGCTAATACAGTCCCATTGAAAACATGTTTCCTATAAATTTGAATGTATTCCATTTCATGTGTCAAAAGCTATTCTCACAAACTTTTTAAAGTCATGATTTTCCTTTTCTATCTACCTTAATCTAAGCTTTTGTGCTGCTGCTGTGAAACAATGCCCTTAGGTCTCCTAGAAGCCATTTTACCTCAGAGGGCATATTTCTTTAACTTTTCCAATGGTATTACCAAAGAGATTACAGTCATGTCTTCAATGTGGTCTTTGCCCCCAGATTGTATTTTACTTTGAGAAGGCTTTTTGTCTAAAAGGGACTGAGGATAAGAAAAAAATAGTTCCCCCCACCTCCAGCCAAGAGAATTTTGAGCTTCTTCTATTTTTATCTAAGTTTTGTTTGTAATTTCTTCTATTCTCCCCTTAGTTTTTTCTCTTTCTTCTAGTATCCTATCATATGCACCCAGTAAAATTCATATATGCCAAGATTCTTCTCAGAAATCTCACTGCTCACATTTTAAAGTTCATTAGATACATTTTTTCTATCCTCTGAAATACCAGAAGTATCATTTATGTCACAACTGCATCACATGGGTTACCATTTTTCCAGCCTTCCCATAATATTTTTTTTCACCATTTTTTGGCTCTTGCAAATAGTCTCTTCAGTAATTTGCCAGATTCTGTTATTGACCTGGTCTCAGGATCCAAAACTCAAAGTTGCATGTGAGTTTTTCTTTTTCCAACAACAGCACAATCCCATAACAAATTTGTCTCATATAGCTACTGTGGCATAAGGAAATACCTCTGTAGTGATTATGTGTCAGCAGTTCTCAGAGTATGTTTTAAGAAGTTTTGTGATTTCCAAGTTTCTCTAGGGTCTGTAATTGTCAAGGTTATTTTTACCATGATTCTAAAATACTATTTTCCTTTTTTAGTCAAAATTGTACAGTAGTGTTTTCCAGATGTCATATGAAATGTTGTGACAAACTTCTAAATGTTAATGGGATGTATACTTGTGTATTTATGTTTTTGACATAACTTTCTAAGTTAGTATGTTTAGGGTATGAAATATATGCATTTTCTAACTCATTTGTCTTTAGTATCTCTATCGTGTTCTTACTAACTGGTCATACTTGCTATAAACTTTGTAACCTTATTTTGGTCCAAAACTTTGGTATTTTTAAATCTTCAAATTTTGCCATAGAATACAACAAGAAGTAAGTATGCTTTTTTTTTGCCTTGATTTGTTACAGTATCTTAAACTTTTAAATATATTTACAATTTATCTAAAACAAATATTATCTTAGAATTTAATGACCTAATATTCTACTTTCTTGATAATCTCAGCCTCTTTCATAGCTTCAGTCCACTCCGTTTCTGTATTATCCCTGTCTAAAGACAACAGGCCCATGGATATATATATCATGTTTCTGAATTCTGCAGATTCTAAGGGAAAACAACAAAAAACATGCAAAAGCAGCTTAATATCCCTTTACCTTAGTTTACCTTTTAAACATGAGACTATGAAGTGTTTTGTATTGATAATGGATATATTGATGAAATTATTTTTGGCTCTTTTTTCTTAGGAAAGAGATAGAAGCACTTAAAATTTTTATTAATTGATGAGGCTTTATGGTTAAAACTTTAAATATTGTTTTGCATTTTCTTTAAATTGTACCTATTTTGCATCTCTGTGGATTCTGTATATTAGAGCAAGAGATAAGATGACAGGAAACAGAAATATAAAAGCTGAAATATATTTGTCTCCACTTGTATAAAATGTTTGGTTGATTCCATCCATTCAATTTCATCATAGTATATTTGAAAATGGACAAGACGTTGTTTGCTTTATGTTTACTTTATAGTTTCACCACAAAAATCTCAAAATACCTTGCAACTTTAAATACAGCAGAAAAATGACATTGAAGATAAAATTATATATTTTATGAGATTTGTGACATGAAAATTACCTGAAAATGATTAGTACTTTAAAGAAAATTAGTATGTGTTTGGGTGTCAACATTTGTTCATAAAGAATTGGCTTATAGCTGGAAGGATGTTCATGTAAAATTTCTCTTCAACTCATTCTTTAATCTAATTTATTTTCTCTCTCCCTCCACTCATATCTTCAGCCCAAGTAACTGTGACTTCTCACTTAACCATTGTAGTGACTTAGTAACCAGTTTTCAGGAATCTATTCCTACTCTCTTCTACTCTTTTTCCACATATAAGAGTGACATTTACAAACTGTAATTATGTTAATCTCATTGCACCCATATCTCAGATTTCACTTTAAGTCATTTATGTATTGATCAAAATTAGGTTTGGCCAGATATAACCATATTCATAAGTATAGCAGTGTCTAGAGTATCAATTTTCTGTCATAAAATACACTTTGGTAAGGGGTCTGAAATGGCAGAGCAAGCAGCCCTGAGTTTAAACAGACACACCAAAATTACAACTATTTAGAGAGCAATTATCTGTGTACATGACCTCAAGGCTGGCAAAAACTGACTTTCTATGACTAAAATGTAAAGAAGGAACTACAACTAGATGTGTAAGATGGGCAGACACATGGTATAGTCAAGACCCATATGTCTGGGCAGGTGACCTACAAAGAGGAGGATAATCACAATTTCAGAGGTTCTCCCCAAGAATGAAGGGCCTGAGCCCTACATTAGACTAAGCCATGAGGTCCTATAACAGGAAGTTGAACCCCAAGAACATCTGACTTTGAATGTTTTTTGGGGCTTTCATACAGAGGGCTGTAAGGTGTGTGCAGAATCTCATAGGCTCCAAGTACCAGTAAATTAAAAGAAACCTGGGTCAGACCCACTTGCTGACCTTGGAGAACCTCCCAATGGGCATGAGGCAACTGAGACTCCCATAAGGACTTAGATTCTGGCAGCAACCATTTTTGTGAACTTACTCAAATATGAGGACACTGATACTGGCAAGCACCTTATTAGAGTACTTCTAGTCTGTTAGCACCAATGGCTTACTTGCCCACTAGTGGGCTGGGACAGATCCTAGGACCACTAAAGCTGTGCAGCCATCTATGCAGGGATTCAACCTGCCCACCAGCAGTTTGACACGAGCCCCAGGCCCTCCAGACTTCACAGTCAGCTGCACTGGGACATGGTCCTACCCACCAGTGAACTAGCACCAGCTCCAATACTCACTGAACCATTTATCCATCTGCACCATGATATGACTCCAACCACAGCAGGCCCACAATCACCACATGATGCAAGGCCTGGCAGCCAACCAGGCAAGAGCCCAGCCTTGCCTACCAGCATAAACACAATAGTTGGCCTCATCAAAACAGAAGGACCCACAAAGACCAAATAGCAGAAACTCCAGAGCATATAGCTTTGGTTACCAGAGGGAAGTGTGCTGTTGGGCCCCATAGAACATCTGCTACATAAGGTCTCTTCTCCAAGATCAGAAAATGTAAACCATTTAAAACATAGAAAAAACAAACAACAAACAAACACAGAGACATAGGCAAAATAAGGAGACAGAAGAATGTGTACCAATTGAAGGAACAAGATAAAAATCTCAAGTTAAAAAAAAAACAACTAAATGAGATGGAGATAAGCCAATATACAGATACCCAATGTACAGTTCAATATATACCATAATGACAATCAATGATTTCAGGAGAAGAATAGATAAACACAATGAGAAGTTTTCAATAAAAAAATTAGAATATATAAAAAACTACCAAACAGAGTTGAAGAGTATAATAAGTGAAATAAAAAAAAAAAGACGTTCATAGAAAACAATAGTAGATTAGATGATACAAAGGAACACATCAGCAATTGGAAGACAAAGTAGTGAAAATCACTCAAGCTGAACAGAAAAAAGAAAATGAACCATAAAAAATGTGAACAGTTTAAGAGAACTCTGAGACAATTTCAAACATACTAACATTTACATTATTGGATTCCCAGAAGGAAAAGAGAAAGAAAAACTTGTTTGAAGAACTTGTTTGAAGAAATAGTAGCTGAAACCTTTCATAATCTGAGGAAAGAAAGAGACAGGTCCAGAAACACAAGGAGTCCAAAAGATGAAACCAAACTGGTTCACACCAAGATACATTATAATTAAAATGGAAAAATAAAAATAGAGAATTTTAGAAGCAGTAAGAAAAAAGCAACTACTTTGGTAGAGGGGAACTCCCATTAGACTATCTGCTGATTTTCAACAGAAACTTTGCAAGCCAGGTGAGCTGGCAGGATGATTCAAAGTGATTAAAGAAAAACACACCTACAACCAAGAATATTCTACCCAGCAAGGCTATCATTTGTATTTGAAGGTGAGATCAAAAGTCTTACAGGTAAGCAAAAGCTAAAAATTCAGCATCATTAAGCTGACTTTACAAGAAATGTTAGAGACTTCTCTAAGTGAAAAAGAAAAGGCCACAACTAGAAATATGAAAATTATAAAATGAAAAGCCTCAATGGTGAAAGCAAACATACAGTAATGATAGCTTATCAACCACTTATAAAATCTAGTAGTATAAAAGCCAAAAGTAGTAAAATCATCTATACCCACAAAAAGCAGTTAAGGAATACACACACATAACAGAAAGATGGAAAATATATCAGAAACAATAAACATGGGGGAAGGAGTAAAAAGTGCAAGATTGTTAGAATGTTCTGGGAATTAAGAGATTATCAGCTTAAAATAATCATATGTATGTAGACTTACACATGTATGTATATATATGATGTTCTATATGAATCTCATGGTAACCACAAATACAAAACTTACAATGGATACATACAGAAAAAAGAAAAAAAAAGGAATTTAAACATATTACTAAAGATAGTTATCAAATCATCAAGGAAGAGAACAAAATAAGAAAAATCAATTAAAAATTATAAAATAACCAGAAAACAATTAACAAAATGGCAATAAGTTCATACTTATCAATAATCACTTTAAGTGTAAATGGACTAATGTGCCAATCAAAAGAAATAGAGTGTCTGAATGGATACAAAAATAAGACCAATATATATACTGCCTACAATAAATTCACTTAATATCTAAAGACATATCCAGGCTGAAAATGAGAGGATGAAAAAAAGAAAAGATAGTCCATGTGAATAGAAAAAAAAAAGGAAGAAGAATTCTGGTGCAGCAATATTTGCAGAAGACAAAATTTACTTTAAAACAAGGACTGTAACAAGAGACAAATAAGGACATTGCATAGTGATCAAGTGATCAATCTAACAAGAAAGTAAAATAATTGTAAATATATATGAACCCAACATAAAAAGATCTTAATACATAAAGAAAATGCTGACAAACATAAAGGATGGAAGTGATAGTAACAATAAAAGTTCAGGTTTTAACACCTCACTTATATCAATTGACAGATTATTCAGTCAGAAAATAAGGGAAAACTCATCCTAAATGACTCTCTAGACCAAATGCTAGATATACATACATATATATGTTAAGAGAGAGAGAGAATATTTTCACCCAAAAGCAGCAAAATACTTATCCTTTTCAATGGCACTAGAATATTCTTCAGGATTGATGACATGCTAGGCCATAGAAAAAATGTCTCAGTAAACTTAAGAAGACTAAAATCATATCAGTTATCTATTCAAGCATCTATTCAATGCTATGAGGCTAGAAATCAACTACAAAAAAAAACTAAAAAATCATAAACACTTGGAGACTAAACAATATGCTTCTAAATTACCAATGGGCCACTGAAGAAATCAAAGAGGAAATTTTAAAATACCCAGAGACAAATGAAAATGAAAATGGAAATACAATAATCCAAAATCTTTGGGATACAGCAAAAGCAATTGTAAGAGGGAAGTTTATACTGTTATAAGCTTACTTCAAGAAATGAGAAAAAAACTCATATAAACAAACTAACCTTACAAATAATGTAACTAGAAAAAAAAAAGAAAAAGAAAACCCAAAGTTAGCAGAAGGAAGTAAATGATGAATATCAAAGAGAAAAGAAATTAAATGGATACTAAAAACAATAGAAAAGAGTAATGAAAATCAAGGAAGATTATTTTAAAAGATACATAAAATTGATAAACTTTTAGCCAAACTTACTAAGAAAAATTAGAGGGCTCAAACAAAATAATATTGTAAATAAAAAAAGAGAAGTCACAACTAACACCAGAGAAACAAAAAGGATCATAGAAATTACTATGTAGTATTATAAGCCAATAAAATGGACTAGAAGAACAAGTAAATTAACAGAAACATACACTCTATCATGACTGAATCAGGAAGAAATAGAAAATATGAACATATCAATTACAGTAATGAAATTAAATCAGTAATAAAAAACTTCCAATATTCAAAAAAGTCCAGTATCAGATGACTTCACAGGTGAATTCTCCCAAACATTTAAAAAACAGTTAACATTTATCCTTCTCAAACATTCTCAAAAAATTGAAAAGGAAGGAACACTTTCAAACTAATTCTACAAGGCCAGCATCACCATGGCAACAAAACCAGACAAAGACACCACACACAAACACAAATTACAAGCCAATATCTTTGATGAACATAGATGCAGAAATCCTCAATAAAATATTAGCAAAACAAATTCAAAAATTCACTAAAAGGATTATCATCATGATCAGGACGGATTTATTCCAACAATACAAGCCTGATCCAATATCCTCAAATCAATGTTATTGCCCATATTAACAAATTAAAGAATAAAAATCATACAATAATCTCAATAGATGCCAAAACAGCTTTTGACAAAATTCAACATCCATTTATGCTAAGAAATCCCAACAAAGTGTGTATGGGGGGAACATACTCCAATATAATTAAAGCCATACATGACAAACCCACAGTCAACATCATGCTCAATTGTGAAAAGCTGAAAACATTTTTTTAATATCTAGAACAAGACAAAGATATTCACTCTTGCCATTTTTATTCAACATAGTATTAGAAATCCTACTCACAGCAGTCAGAAAAGAAAAATAAATAAATAAATGGAATCCAAACTAGAAAGGAAGAGGTAAAATTGTCATGGTTTTTAGATGACATAATACTATATATAATTTTAAGAAATCACCAAAAATCTATTAGAACTAATACATGAATTCAGTAAAGCTGCAGCATACAAATCTAATATACATAAATTTGTTGTGTTTTTATACACTAACTACATATCATCAGAATAAATTTAAGAAAACAATCCCACTTATAATTTTATTAAGGTGAATAGAATATCTAGCAATAAATCTAACTAAGTAGGTAAAAGATTTGTATTTGGAAAGCAGTAAGACATAAATTGAAGATTATATAAACAAATGGAAATATATACAGTGCTCATAGATTGCAAGAATCAAAATTGTGAATATGACCATATTGCCTAAGAAGATATACAGATTCAAAGAAATTTTTATCAAAATACCAATTGTCATTTTTCACAGAATTAGAACAAATAATTCTAAAATTTGAGTGAAAACACAATAGACACCAAATAGCTCAAAAAAATCTTGAGAAAGAAGTAAAATGCTGGAGATAACACACACTCTGATTTCAAACTATACTACAAAGCTATACAAATCAAAGCAATATGGTACTGGTACAAAAACTGACACTTGCATCAATGCAATAAAATATAGAGCTTGGAAATGAAACAAAAGTTATATGGTCAATTAATCTATGACAAAGAAGGCAAGAATATACAATGGGGAACAGATGGCCTTTTCAATAAATGGTGTTTGGAAAACTGGATAGCTACATGCAAAATAATCCAACTGGATTACCTTCTAATACAATATACAAAAATCAACACAAAGTTCAATTAATGTCTTAAATGTAAGAATTGAAATAATACAACTCCTAGAAGAAAACAAAGGCAGTACACCCTTTGACATCAATCTTAGCAATATGTTTTTGGATCTATCTCCTCAAGGCAACAAAAGCAAAAATAAACAAACCACACTACATTAAACTAAAAAATTTTTGCATAGTGACACTATCAAAATGAAAAGTCCACCAACAGAATGAGAGTAAATATTTGCAAATAATATATCTCGTAAAAGATTTTATCTGAAATATACAAAGAACTCATACAACCTAACATTTTAAAAAAAGTATTACCAAAGAGCAGAGGACCTGAGCAGATATTTTTCCAAAGAAGACATAGAGATGAACAACAGAAAAATGAAAAGACACTCCACATCACTAATCATCAGGGAAATGCAAGTGAAAACTCTAAGGAAATATTACATATCATAGCTTATCATAATGGCTATCATCAAAAAGGCAACAGATAAAAAGTGTTGGTGGAAACTAGTATGAATGTTACTCTGAAAAATTAAAAATGGAACTTTCATATAATCCAGCAATTCCTCTTATAGGTATTTACTCAGAGAATACAAAAACATTAATTTCAAAAGACATATGCATTCCAGTGTTCACTGCAGTATTGTTTACAATGGCCAAGATATGGAAGTACCTTATGTATTTATTGATAATTAATGGATAAAGATGCTTCATATGTATATACAACACAATATTTATTACTCTGCCATTAAAAATTAAAACTTGCCATTTGTTATGATATGAATAGATCTAGAATGTATTATGGTAAGTGAATTAGACAGACATAGACAAATACCACATAAGCTCACTTAATATGTGAAATCTAAGATTTTAAATCAAACAACTAACTAGAGTGGAAATGATCAGTACTGAATTAATAATTCTGTAGTGTCTTTAAGAAACAAGTTTCTTGAGAAGGAGGTATCAAGATGGCAGAGTAAAGAGACTTAGAGTTCACCCTCCCCCACAGATACACAATCAGTTATATCTACAAACCCACTGAATCAAACAGAAAACCTACTGAACTCTGGCAGAATGTCTCTGGCTTCAAAATACAGGAGGATTTTCACAAAATCCACTAAGAGGAAAAAAATAAAAAGAAAAAGAAAATTCTGTGGGACAGATATTGCAGGCAGGGAGCAGCAAAGGAAGAAAGACATCCTCATGCTGGGAACCATCCTCTCCAGCTAGGAGATCACCAGGGACAGAAGTGGAGCTTCTGAGGCTCAGAGGAGAAAGTGGCAGCTGTTTGGCAGACAGAACTAAGAGAAACTGGCACAGAGAGTCCCTGTGATCCCCAGTCCTAGACTCAAGCCAATAGAGACAAGCTAGAACTGGCTACCAGAGACCGGTGATGAGCCCAGGGAGAGGGCTGGGGCCCATTGCACAGAGGCAGCCTCAGGGAACTGGAGGGCAGTGTAAGCTCTGGCTGAGAGTTGTGTGGAACAGAACAGCCTAGGACCCCCATAAAAAAGCGTGACTGCTGCTGTGCATAGAGGGTTGCAATGCAACCTCACCACAGCTGCTGTCTCCACTTGGCTCCATTGTTGGTGTGTTCTCATGAGAATATAGGTGGGTCTCAGTCAGAGCCATTGCTACTGCATATTGGTGGGGTTGAAAGCTTAATGTACCCAGGCACTATGAAAGCTGTGATAACCACAAAACAAAAAAGGAGGCACCACTCAACTAAAACAATCTGGGCAGGTACTGTTCACCACAACACTAACTACACTCCCAATCAAAGGGATAATAGCCAACACACATGGAGGAAAGAAGTGCAATCATTGATACTAAGATGAGCCCTGGCAACAAAACTATTAGACACACACATTTGACACAGGAATGCTCCCACTTCAAATAAAAATGAACAAACAAAAAACAGCCCTTCAAGACCACAGTCTATACTTCTAAATCCATAAAGCCAGAGAAATATAAATAAAATGAAGAAGCATAGGAACCACTCCCAATTAAAAGAACAACAGAAGTCCCTGAAAGAAGAAACAATGAGAGACCTCAACAGTCTTCAAAAAGGAAGTGATAAGAGCACTGAGAAAAATAAGAGAGATGATGAATAGAGACAGAGAATACTACAAAAAAGAAATAGAAACTATAAAGAGGAGCCACTTAAAAATGGAAAACTTAATGGCTAAGAGCCGAGATAAAGGCAGTCAAAAGCAGACTAGATAATGCAGAGGGATGAATAAGTGACTTAAAAGACAGGATGACAGAAGTCATTCAGTCAGAACAGCAGACAGAAAAGCAGTTGAAAATCAGTGAAAGCATATAAGGGATAATATAAACTGTGCCAATTTACACATAATATGAGTCCCAGAAGGAGAACAAAGAGAAAAAGGGATTGAAAATGTATTTGAAGGAATCGTGACTGAAAACTTCCAAAACCTAAAAAGTAAACAGATATCCAAGTACAGGAAGCACAGAAGGTCCCCAAAAGAAGAAACCAAACAGACCTACACCAAGACATATTAAAATCAAGATGGCCAAAGTTAAAGATAAATAAATTATTCTAAAGGCATCAAGAGAAAAATAAAGAGTTAGTTATAAGGGAAAACCCATAAAGCTTCCAGCTGATTTCTCTACACAAACACCACTGACCAGAAGGAAGTGGCAAGATATATTTAGTCTTGAATGAGAAAAAGCTGCAACTTAGGATACTCTATCTGGCAAGACTATCCATTAGAGTAGAAGGAGAGGTAAAGCATTTCACAGACAAGCAAAAACTAAAATAATTCAGCAATATTAAACCTATCCCAAGGAAATATTGAAAAGTCTACTCTAAATAGATAAGAAGCAGGAAGCTATAGAAATGAAAATAACATAGTAAAAAACGTGATAAATACAATGAGTTGCAAGAAAATAAACATGAAGATGTCAAAAAAAAAGGAAATCAAAATTATAAAAGGAGGGGGAGGGGCGCAAGAATATATGGATTATTACTCTCTCTCTCTTTTTTTTTTTCCAGTTTTCCTTTTTTTCATTCCTTTTAAGATGTGTTTGAGCCTACATGACTACAAGTCTAAAGCAAACAAATATAGTAATGGGTTAATATACTTGAAAAGCAGGATAACTACAGATCAAAAGCCTACATTAGAGTCATAAAACCAAAAAGAAACCAAGATAATACAAAAGAAAATTATCAAACCACAAAAAGAGAAACAAAATAAAAAGAAAGGGACAAACAAAACATACCAAATAAACTACAAAACAAAGTACAAAAATGTCAATAAAAACACATCTATCAATAATTACTATAAATGCCATTGGACTAAATGCTCCAATCAAAAGGCATAGAGTGATAGGCTGGATAACAAAACAAGAACCTACAATATGCTGCCTACAAGAGACCCACTTTAGGGAGAAGGACACACATAGATTGAGATTGAGAGGATGGAAAAAGATATTTCATGCAAATTGAAATGATAAGAAAGCATGAGTAGCAATACTGATTTCAGACAAAATTAGACTTTAAAACAAGGATCATAAAGAAAGATAAAGAGGGACACTATATAATGATTAAAGGAGCAATAAAAGATGAGGATATTACACATATTAACATATATACACCAAAGTTGAGAGTACTTAAATACATAAAAGGAATACTAACAGACATCAAAGGAGAAACTGATGGGAATACAATAATAGTTGGAGACATTAACACCCCACTAACATCACTGGAGAGATCTCCCAGACAGAAAATCAATAAGGCAATGGAGATACTAAATAACACAATAGAATAGTTGAACTTGGTTGATATGTTTAGGACATTTCATCCCCAAAAAAGAGAATATGCATTCTTTTCAAGTACTCAGGAAACATTCTCTAGGGTAGATGATATGCTCAGGCACAAAAGAAGCCTCAACAAATTTAAGACGGTAGAAATTATTTCAAGCATCTTCTCTGACCACAATGATATGAAACTAGAAATCAACCACAAAAAAAGTATGATAAAAAAAAGGCTGCATGGAGACTAAATAATATGTTACTTAAAAACAAACCAATAGGTCAATGATGAATTCAAAGAAGAAATTAAAAAGTATTTTGAGACAAGGGAAAAGAAAACACAACCACACAAAATCTATGGGAAGCAGCAAAAACAGTCCTAAGAGGGAAGTTCATAATGATACAAACCTTCCTCAAAAACAAGAATAATCTCAAATAAACAACCTAAATTATCACCTAAAAGAATTAGAAAAAAGATGGACAAACAAAATCTAAAGTCAGCAGAAGGAAAGAAATAATAAATATCATGGAGGAAATAAATAGAGATTAAAAAACAATAGAAAAAATAAATCAAACCATGAACTGGTTTTTTGAAAGAGTAAACAAAATTGACAAACCTCTGGCCAGGCTCACAAAGAAGAAAAAAGAGAGGACATAAAGAAAGAAAATAAGAAATGAAGATGGAGAAATAAAAACCAACACCACAGAAATACAAAAAAAAATCATCAGAGAATACTATGAAAAACTATATGGCAATAAGTTGGACAACATACAAGAAATAGACAAGAAAAATAAATAAAAGGGATCCAAATTAGAAGAGGTAAACTTTTCACTCTGTGTGGATGACATAATACTATATATAGAAAACCCTAAAGGCTTGACACAAAAACTACTAGAGTTGATAAAATAATTTGGCAAGGTAGCAGGATACAAGAATAACACACAGAAATAAGTGGCATTTCTTTACACTAACAATAAAACATTAGAAAAGGAAATAAAGAAACAATCTCTTTTAAAATTGAACACAAAACAACAAAATACTTAGGAATATATCTGAACAGGGAAGTCAAAGACTTTATATGAAGAGAACTATAAAATATTGGTTAAGGAAATTAAAAATGACTTAAAGAAATGGAAAGATATCCCATATTGTTGGATTGTAAGAATTAATATCATTAAAATGGCCATACTACACAAAGCAATCTACAGATTTAATGTGATAACTACCAAAATACCCAGGGCATTTTTCACAAAATGAGAACAAAAAATCCTAAAATTTATATGGAGTTACAAAGACCCAGAATTGCCAAAGCAATACTGAAGGAAATGAATGAAACTGGAGAAGTAACCTTCCCACACTTCAGACAATAATACAAGGCTACGGTAATCAAAACAGCATGATATTGTCACAAAAACAGACTTATGGATCAGTGGAACAGAATAGAGAGCCCAGAAATAAACCCAGAAACTTTTGGTCAATCAATTTTTGACAAAGAAGGCAAGAACATACAATGGAGTAAAGAAAGTCTTTTCAGTAATAGTGTTGGGAAAACTGGACAGTTGCATGTGAATCAATGAAGTTAAAATGCTCCTTCACACCATACACAAAAATAAACTCAAAATGGCTTAAAGACTTAAACATAAGAAAAAACAATATAAATCTCTTAGAGAAAAACATAGGCAAAACATTAGCTGACTTAAATCTTACCAATATTCTCCTAGGGCAGTCTACCCAGACAATAGAAATAAAAGCGAAAGTAAACAAATGGGATCTAATTAAACTTATATGCTTTTACACAGCAAAAGAATCTATAAGCAAAACAAAATAAAACAAAAATACAACTTACAGAATGGTGGAAAATATTTGCAAATCATGCAGCTGACAAAGGCTTAATTACCAGAATACAGAAACAGCTTGTATAACTTAATAAATTTTTTTTGAAAAAAGAACATTTCAAAAATGGACAGAAAACCTAAACAAGCAATTCTCCAATGAAGACATACAAATGGCCAATAGGCATATTGCTCAATATTGTTAATTATCAGAGAAATATAAATCAAAATTCCAATTAGGTATCACCACACACCAGTCAGAACGGCCATCATTCAAAAGTCCACAAATGATTAATGTTGGAGAGGCTATGGAGAAAAGGGAAACTTCCTACACTGTTGGTGGGAATGTAGTTTGGTGCAGTCATTATGGAGAACAATATGGAGATTCCTCAAAAGACTAAAAATAGACTTACCATATGATCCAGCAGTCCTACTTCTGGGTTTATATTCAGATAGAACCTTAATTCAAAAGGATACATTCACCTCAATGTTAATAGCAGCACTATTTACAATAGCCAAGAAAAGGAAACAACCTAACTGTCCATCAACAGATGGCTGGATGAAGAAGCTGTGGTATATTTATACAATGGAATACTATTTAGCCATAAAAATAATAAAATAATGTCACTTACAGCAACCTGGATGGACCTGGAGATTGTCATTCTGACTGAGGAAAGCCAGAAAGAGAAAGAAAAATACCATATGATATCACTTATATATGGAATCTAATAAAAAAAGACAAGTAAACTTATTTACAAAAGAGAAACAGACTCACAGACATAGAAAACAAACTTATGGTTGCCAGGGAAAAAAGGGAGTGGGAAGGGATAAAATGGGTGTTTGATATTTGCAGATACTAACTAATATATATAAAATAGGTAAATGACAAGTTCATACTGTATGGCACAGGGAACTATATTCAATATCTTGTAGTAACTTATGATGAAAATAATTATGAAAATAAATATATGTATATTCATGTATGATTGAAGCATTATGTTGCACACCAGAAACTGACACATTGTAAACTGACTATACTTCAATAAATAAATAAATAAATAAGTAAATAAATAAATAAAAAGAAACAATATTCTTATTTTCTATTCTACCATTTTCAGTACTTTGTGCCTTCCACAAAACCATGATGCAAAATGCCTAATGTAGCACCAGCAATTACATATATTCCAGGGAGCTGATGGAAGAAAATGTGTCCCTCACAGCTAAGTCAGTTTTCAATAAGGTTTCTATATTTTGCACATGTACTTTGCCTTACTGTCACTAGCTAGTACTTAGTTCCATGATCAATTCATCCTACAAGAAAAACTGGGCAAAGTCTTTACTCTGTTTTGTTATTACAATATAGCTGTAGAATGGATAACTGGCAATCAATGATGGCTGACACACTTTCCATTTTTTTCTAAAATGGTTTATGAATCCCTGTAGGTCTAGATCACACCTCATCTCACACATCATACCTTCAGTAGATCCCTGTGTTTTAGCTATGTCTACCTTCCTCCAGCTGTCAAGGATGGCACATTCCCTCCTAACACATTTTCCCACCTATCCATTTAAAATGCACACAGTTTAAAAAGATTTTCTACTCTCCTGTAGATATCATAGGGATTGATTTTCATGAGAGCAAAATTCATTCTTTGCTCATCATTGTATTTCCAGGATCAATTAGGTTGCCTTGTACTTAAGAAATTTGGTAATAATTTCATTGAATGAAAGGCTGAGAAAACAAATGAACAGAGCTTGATTCAGAACTGATAGAGTAAACTGCTTATTTTTAGGGAGTGTATATTTTTAATGCTAAACAGGCCTATTTTCTAAATGATGAACAAAGATGATAGTTATTTGACTCTACTCAATTACTAGTGGATTCACCAAAAAAATAATAATGATAAGGCTAAACTTTTTACACACTATGAAGGCCACTTGACAAATAGATTAAAGTCTGAATCAAAATGGGGGAAAATGCTGAAAGTAGAGATAATATTTTCCCTTGAACACTGAGTAACTTATAGATATCAGAATAATAATTAGTCAGATATTTTATAAAATGAAAAATTATCATAAATAAGATAACCACAATTTTATATAATAAATTTTAAATTCATAAATGCATACTGATGAAAACTTAATTTTGAAATATGAATTATAAAAAATAAAAACACAAATTTCAGACAAATACTTCATGATATTTGAAAATTATAAATACATATCTTTCAAAAAACCTTAAAATGAGATAAATCTGCCAATTAACACTTAATATTAATAAAAGTTACAATAACAAAATAAATACAAACAAGCAAAAATCAGTAAAATAAACAGAAGACAAAAATTAAAATGCTCCAGAAATTAAAAACATGTTAAAGTCCTGCAACATAAACATTTACCTCAAAAGAAAAAAGTCAGGAAATGTTTAGAAATCTTGGCAAATATTATAAAATGAAATAAAGGCAAATATAATGTTTTGAAGAATATGAATGATAGAAGATTCAGACTTGAAAAACCTAACCTACAAAAAAAATAAGAAAGAAAATTTAAGTATTAAAACACAGACACATACACACACACCCACACACAAGAAAATAAACAACTGATGAAAGCGAGAATAACTAGAACATATAACTAGAAAAAAATAGTATTATAGAATATCTCTTAAAAAAAGACAGACTTTAATCTTGTGATGAAAAGAACAAGGACACTTGAATAAATTTTACACTGACAAATTCAAAAAACACACTTTCTGTGTTAAAGAACCTCAAGCACATAAGTTGATTTGATAATATTCCTGTTGTTTTATTCTACCAGCTGTAACTCATCTAATGAAAAGCTCTCAGAGGATGAAAAGCTGCTTGTGTGGGAATATTGTCAGTGAGAATGTTCTTGTTTCATCCCAGAAAGAATTCAGAAATGAGACATGGAGGTCAAGAAAGCACAGCAAGAATTTAGTAAGGGATAGATAGTATGTTGTCAAGGAAAGAGCAAGCAGACCCGGTTGGGTAGCTGCCCCAAGTGTTATATGGATGTAAAATGAAAGAGCAGAATATTCACTGGCAGGGAGGTGTTTGGGGTCATTTTTTCTGATCTCCATCTCAGCTCCACCTCCCTAGGTGGGGAGGAGGGATTTTTTTGTCCTTATGTAGTCTTGACCAGGAGGTTGGATAAGGCCATAATAAGCCAAAAGTTACATTCAGATGGAGGTCATAATGGGTGAAATATTACATTTGGATGGTGGAGATTCCTGTCTTGTCTCAGCTTTTTTCACCTCCTTGGACACTCATCAACCCAAAAATGTATTGTTATTTATTAATCCAAAGGTTCCTGTTATTCTTGGTCTGTCCAAGGACTCCCATTGTTCAAAAGATGTATGGTTTTCTGCTATTTGGCCCATGTCTCCCTTTGTCTGCTCATATCTAACCACCTGCCTGTTAGCTAGGAAGGCAGGACCCAAATATTTTAACTACACTATTTCTAGTTCTCCTTCTTCTGGCATACCATGAAGGTTACATATGTGTCAAAAAAACAAATCTTCAGATGTTGGGGAAAGTAGACAGAGTCTAGGGCATCTAAGAATGTTTATCTTAAGTCATCCTTCTTCCACATTGTGCCATCATTATTCTGCACTAAAAATTTATAAGTGCATAGAAGCATATTTTCTTCCTCTTGGATAGATGTTATGGGCTTGTAGAAAACAACTCTAAAGTAAAGGTCAGACCCTAGGGAATGTTGAAGGGACAACTTGGGCACATGATATCGTAGTAAGGATGAGTAAGTCTGACTCCATATTAGATTTATTCCTTTGGCTCTAACCCTGTGCTTTGTATCCTGTGCTTAGTCATGCTGGTTCTGCACCTTTTGTAAAAGGATGTTGCCTAGAGTCTAAAATATACAGGGTAGCCTATTCTCAAGGCTCTGACTTTAGGGTATAACACTTTCTCTTCATATAAAGATAAAAAAGTTGCAGAGTAGAAAATAACAGTTGTTTTATTGGAGGTTTACAGGGACACTGTGATCTGACATATGTGGACAGCTGCAAGAACACAAGATTCTGACACTAAGAAGTTTGCAACAACCAGTCACACCCCTCCCCTTTTTAGTATAAAAGGAGCTTGATGGTTCTCCAGGACATTAGTCGGCCATCCTCTCAGTCTGCTGGCTTTCCAAATAAAGTTATTAGTCCATGCCCCAACACCTTACCTCCTGATTTATTGACCTGCTGTGCAGTGAGCAGAACAAGTTTGGACTCAGTAACAATATGCATTGTGCTCCCAGAAGCATGGAGTCCCAATCCCATATAATAAATGGGGTACCTGCTGGTCTATACTCAATCTTTTAGTTGCAAGGGTAACTGAAAATATACTATCATGTTTACCCAGGAGTGTAATATATAGGTTTATAAAGATGAAAAGACAGCTACTTCATACCTAAACAGACTTGATGTTTTGAAGAATAATAAGTAAAAGCCCATAAACAAAAAGAAAAAAGAAGAAATGAGAGAAAGAAGGAGATGAAAAAGGAGAAAGAAAGAAGGAAAAAAAGAAGGAAAGGAGGGAGAAAGAAAGAGAGGGAGGATAGAAAAAAAGGAAGAAAGAAAGAAAAGAAAATCTGAGCATAAAATTACCCCTAATTAAATTTGAGGAAAGCAACAAGGAAATAATAATTTGAGTAAGATGCATGGTATTGTTGTAAAAAAAAAAACTGACCTCTGTACCCTGATATCTGAATTGAGATTTGTAAGCAGAGTTTTGGGAAAATTAAAAAAGAATAGCTTTATTGCTTTGCAAGGCAAAGGGAGTCACAGTAGGCTAATGCCTTAGAGACTATGAATTCATCTTGTGGTTGGGGTCCTGAGGTTTTATAAAAAAGATAGATGGAACAGAAAGGTGACAACAAGCAGGGTATTTTCCAGAGTGATGTATTTTTCTTAATCTTTGTGAATCCACCTGGTGTCATGGAGAAACCCTAGATGGTCTTGTTGCCAGTGGATGTAACTGGTGTTCCAGGCTCTTGTCCCATCCCAGAAATAATTCAGAGACAAGACATAGTGGTTAAAAAAGTAAAATGAAAATTTATTAAAAGATGGATAGTACACTCTCAAGGGGAGAGCAGACAGGCTCAGGTGAGTGGCTGCCCTGTGTTCCTTGGCAAGGTAGTTACACAGGGTTGAAAATGAATAGGCAGAATATTCATTGGGGAAAGAAGGGTTTGGCATCATATTCCCTGATTATCACCCCAAATCCTCCTTCCCAAAGGGAGGAGGGATTTTTGTCCTTATTTAGTCTGGATCAAAAGTGTTGTGACATCAGTGCATGATGGGTACTTCTAATCTGCAAGGCTAATTTTATTGAAATGAGGACATAATGAGCAAAAGGTTACATTAGGACACTGGAAATTCCTGCTTCTTCTCACTTATCTTTATCAGTCTCCAGGTCCCTCATCACCCCAAAAGGTGTGAACACTTATCAGCCCAAAACATCCTGCTTTTCTTTCTCTGCCCAGGGATCCCTGGTGCTTACAAGATATATGGTTCCCTGCATTTGCCCTGTGTCCCTCCCTTCTCTGCTTACATCT